GATGATAGGAGTAACATGGCTGCTGCTGGGTGCGGTGCTAGCCCTTTTTTGGGCATACTCGTGGTGGAAACACAGATACTGGGCAACAAAGGGCGTGCCCACTCCACCTATGGCCCCCTTCATCGGTCATGCGCACAAATTGCTTCTCCCAGTTAAAAGATATAACTTTGAAAGAGAGGTAATAAAAGTACTATTATCTGTGAATTGTTGTTATTGAGCATCGCACATCAAAGAGTGATTTGTAAGAAATATTAGCATAATTCTTTACAGTACTTAGTCTCATGATACATCCCTCCATTCTTTACAGGCCTATTTCAAGTATGGTGGATCAAAATTATGTGGTATCTACTCCTTCCACGAGCCATTGTTATTGGTGGGCGATCCCGAAATCATGAGGCACATTTACGTGAAGGACTTTGACCACTTTATGGACAGACGGACCTTTAACATGCCGAACAAGAAGGACGAAGTAATGGCCAACATGTTGACTATGAAGACAGGTGAAGAGTGGAAAAAACTGAGAGCCATCATGTCTCCCACTTTCACGTCCGGCAGAATGAAGGGGATGTTCCCGCTCGTGTGCGAGAAGGCCGACCAACTCGTCTCCTTCTGCCTCAAGGAAGCTCGCACCAAGCCCTTTGTCGACATGAAGTATAATTTTGGCCGCTACACCATGGACACAATCGCCTCCTGTGCCTTTGGTATTGAATGCAACTCACTAGTGGATGAAAAGCCAGAATTTGCTGAAAAAGTTGACTCTTTTTTCAGAATTACACCGGGACTAATATGGAGACTTGTTTTCCTGTCTGTATTTCCTAAACTTGCCAAGTTATTAAAAATGAGGTTTTCAATACCAGAAACTGATTTCTTTACGGAAGTTGCTCGTGAGACCATGCGAGCAAGGCAAAGTGGGAATAAAAGGGGAGACTTTTTGGATCTGTTGCTAGAAGCTGAAGTTTCCTCTGGCGATGCTGAAGGAATCTCAGCAGTGCAGGATGACAATAAATCATTCAAGTCTAAGCAGGGTACGTAGCATACAGTTTACAGCATTTGCATTATACAATTTGAAAAGTGTACATATCATTTATGTCGTACAACATATCCCATTTACACCAGGTAGTGATTAACATTCAGACACTCCATTCTCGCAGCCCTGGATGAACTTACCATCATCTCCCAAAGTGTCTTGTTCCTGGTCGCCGGTTACGACACCACAGCCTCCACGCTGGCCTTCGCGTCCATCCTACTTGCCAAGCACCCAGAGATCCAGCAGCGCCTTCGTCAGGAGATGAGTGAAATGGTCGAGGAACACGGCGACATAACCTACCAGGGGATCATGGAAGCCAAATATCTTGATGCTTGTGTCATGGGTAAGTCTCCCAGATAACTTGCTCTAGTCTTAAATGAAAGAACTGATTGTCAGTTGTTAAATATTATATTATTTGCAGGTAGTAATGTACTCGGTCCACCAAAGAAAAGCAGATATATATATATATATATATATATATATATATATATATATATATATATATATATGTATATATATATATATATATATATATATATATATATATATATATATATATATATATATATATATATATATATATATATATAAACACACATTTCTGATATCGGATTTGAACTGCTCTTTCTATATATACCGAGTGCCCACGGGGAGTGTGTGTAAAACTTCGCTATCCTTACTTGGGTGTTCTTGGGCATCTTCCACAATCCCTTCAAGGAAGATGTTGAAAGTGGGGTATGCAGTCCAACTGTAGTACAGTCTCCTTTTTTGCCGTTCAGGAGAACTGGACTTGAGGTTTGTTCATAGTTTTTTGATAACTCTGACAAGGTTTGAGTTGATGTTATGTATCCGCATGGTTGCCCACAGGGCAGCATGCCAAACCCTTTCAAATGCCTTCTTAAAATCAACAAAGACATGAAAGAAGTCTTGTTGGTGTTGGAGGTGATTTCGCATATTATCCTGAGGTTAAATATGTGGTTAGTTGTGCTGCGTCCTGCTCTAAAACCTGCTTGTTCTACAGTAATAGATTTGAGTTTGTTCATTATGATCTTCAGTATTACTTTGCTCACATGGTTAACCAAACTAATTGTGTGGTAGTTTTGACACAGCTGGAGGTTTCCTTTTTCGGGCAGGATGATGATAAGATATTGGGTCCATTGAGTTGGCCATATCCCTGTAGTCCAAATCTTATTGCTTGAATCAATTCGCCTGGGATGTCAATTCCTGCCGATTTTCCTTTTTTGAGTGATGTAACTGCTGCTTCAACTTCCTCGCATATGGTCGAATGCGAGTCATTTTCTGAGTTGGCTTGAGGGTAATCTAATACTGCTGGGTCACAGTTGAGCTGGTGATTATATAGCTCTGAACAATACTCTGCCCATCTGTTTAGTACCTCCCTCTCTTGTGTAGGCACTTCCCCCCTTTGTATTGGATACAGGTAGGTCTTCCCTGTTTCTTTGTAGTGAGATCTTTGACCACTTTGTAAGTTTTTCTGGTATTATTTCTATTTCGTTATTTTTTTTTTATACATCGGTGTTCGAACTAGGTTTCCTTTGCTTTCTTTATTTTTTCATTGCCTTTATTGTTTGCCTCTCTGTATAACTGAGCTCCCTCTGGGTCACCTTTTCTCTTTTTCAGTTCTCGATGTCCGTCACATAGATCTAAAATTTCATCTGTGACCCGTGGCTTTTTGGGGCGCTGGTGTTTCCCCAAGAGTTCATCTGCAGTTTCTATTACGGCTGTGTTTAAGGTGTTCACTATCGGGTCGAGTTCTATGTTTCTTACATCAAGGATTATTAGAGCAGCAAGTCTCCCCCCAATCCGTGCCTGGAACTCTTCTTTTATAGCTGGGTCTTTTAGTTTGTCCAGATTAAATCTTGGTTTGCTGATCTTCTTCAGCCTTGTTCTGAAAGTCATTAAGACCACATTATGATCACTTCCAATATCTGCACCAGGGAAACGGCGTGTTCACGTGACATTCCCTCCTGATTGGATCAGTCTGGTTATGTTGGTTTCCTGGGCTGTGCCACGTCCATCTTCTTGAAGATTTATGAACTCCAAATTGTTTATGGCAGCAAACTCTAAGAGCCACAGGCCTCTGTCACTGGTCAGAGGGTTACTGGAAGGTCCGCAGTTACTTTGCCAATGAGCCTGGGCATCTTCTCCAACTTTGGCATTCCAGTCACCCTGTGCCATTAAAATATCCTTTTTGTGTACTCCATCTATGACTTCTTGTAATCGAATATAGAAGTCTTTTCTATCCTCTTCATAACTAGTTGTTGGGGCATACGCCTGGAAGATTTTGATGTTGAAGGGCACTGCCTTTAAGCGGATGTTAATTAGTCTGCTTGAGACTGGGCGGCATTCCATTACTGCTTTGATTATGTTTTTTATGGATAAGAAATCCCACGCCTTCTTTGTGAGAGTAATGATTTCCCCTTATCCTTGTTGTTTCGCCTATGCTTTTTCAACGCATTTCGCATACACCTTAGAGGTTCTGGCGGTATCTGTTCATCTCATGGACGAGTTCATGGATCTTCCCCTCGTCTTTCAGGGTTCTATCATTCCCGGTTCCTATTACGATGTTGTCTCTAGCTCGGAGCCTGAACTCCTTGGCACCAGTAAAACATTTTTCTATTTGGTCATACACATATATGAATATATATATATATATATAATATATATATATATATATATATATATATATATATATATATATTATATATATGTATATGTACACACACACACACACACAACACACTCTCTCTCTCTCTCTCTCTCTCTCTCTCTCTCTCTCTCTCTCTCTCTATATATATATATATATATATATATATATATAATATATATATATATATATCATATATGATAATATACCTTTATGTATATATCTATATCTATATCTATCTATCTATCTATTATATATATATATATATATATATATATATATATATATATATATATTACACATATATATATGTGTGTGTGTGTGTGTGCTTCATTCCTTAGTACAAATATCTTTTCCATTTTTGTTTTCCTCAGAAACCCTTCGCCTGTACCCACCGGGGCTTTTCCTGGAGCGCAAGTGTATAAAGGAATACAAGTAAGACCTTTTCAAAGTACTTCAATTCTCAATCTTTGTGAATAGTGACCTACTTATGTGTAAATTCTATATTAGTGTGCGTGTTTCTGTGTATGCGAGAACTCAAAATTTATTTGTATGTAATTTTGTATATGTATTCCATACGTGTACATAGTATATTTCTGTGTGTACACACACACACACACACACACACACACACACCATCTATATATATATATATATGCATATCATATAAAAGACATTAATGCGAATAAAAACAATGATATACAATATACAAGAATATAATAGTGCAAACATAAATATGCGTGAATAGTATTAGTATATATGTTTGTACTATTATGTTTCCTACAGGAAACCAGGGTACTCAATGACGCTGATTCCCGAAAAAAGAGGAACCAAGATACTTGGCTTCTCTTGTCTATGACGTGGAGGTGATCGTGTTATACTCCCAGGTGGGGGAGACTTCCCGCATGTGCAAAGGGAAGGCCCCCACCAGGCAAGCCCTGGTCACCCTCACGGGGGCCCTAATTAGCACCCTTGATTTGGGTAACTGGGGCTTCTACAGACTAAGAATTAATTTGCCAGAATCACTAAGGTGCTTCACGTGCCAAAAGTATCGGCACCTCTAGGCCAATTTTAAGGCCAAAATCAAATGTGTTTAGAGCAAGGCACACAACACCGGAATGTGCTTCAAGGCGCAGAAAGAAGGCCAGAGGACACAGAAGCTAAATGTACCACCTGCATTAAAAGGCATCAAGCTTAGAGCCTAGCTTCCTCTGTCAAGAAACAGGCGGCCCTCAGAACACAGGAGCTAGGCAAAAGCGTCCTGATGTTGTTCCTGCTCCCCAAGGCACCCGCGTCTGGAGACAACGAAGGAGAAAGGACTCCCCGACCTCCTAAGAGGAAGGAGACACCTCCCCAGCCCACACTGGATACTTCTAATCCAAAGGAGTATCCCTGCCGTGCTAGTGATCGCAAAAAGAACCACAGGAGACAAGGTTCAAACAACTAAACTAAACACTAAAGTTATACCAAGCAGACGACAATCTTTAGATCTAAACTTAGCTTAGATCTAAACCAGGTCTGTGCTAATGCAGTACAAGATCGAGAGATCATAAAGGGAGACTTAAATGCACATCTGCCTCTGCTGGATTCCCGCAGCAGGCCAAATGCGGCAGGCATTCAAATAGATAACGTTCTTGACACATTCCCTGAGGTCGCTCTTCTCAACACCCAAGAACCAATGCATGTGAAGGGAGGAGTTCTGGAGCGTTATTTTTCAAAATACTGAGTATTTTACTGAGCGCTACTCACAAGTCCTACCCTACATCCCTCTGCTCAGCGAAGTATGTGTGGTATCTATGAAAAGTCTGAGTGCTCCACAGAGCACTCAAACTCATTTAGGTGGGTCGCTTGAGTGTATGAATATTTTATGGAAGTTTTACTGCAAAACAAAACTATTTTTCCTCTCAATATAAAATGATAACACATATTTATAGCACTGTATATATGAAAAAAATGAGAATTTGCGATAAATATTTCCCATTTGTCCACGTCGGATTGCACACCGTTGAGTCCCAAATGGCGGCGAATATTTAAAAATGGAACAAGCCCTGACTTCGCCCCCAAACCCAAGACGTCTGCTAATTGGACCAAAGATGAAGAGTTGAGCCTTTACTACAACATTCGTGATATTGTAGTTTGCATCAAACACTGGACATTAATGCTGTGATATTTTTTTCTATATATATTCTGTGTATATGAGTGTCATCAATCACACACACCACTCCTGGAAACCCATAGTGTTCCATGAATTCTGCTTGCTTTTGTTGGAGGTTTTCTTGCCGGGTGGAGGACTTTAAAAGCCTTGCTTGGAATGCTGGCAATACAAGGGCATCTGACTTTTCATCGACTATCTTGCTAATTGATGGTTGGGATATGCCAAAATCATCTCTGTTGCGCATTTGCATTTTCCCAGTTGCTAAAAAACGAAATGTCACTAGCACTTTCACTTCTGCAGAGATGGCATAAGCTCGATTTGTACGTTTTTCTTTGACCTCTGATCACGTCAGAATTACCTCACATTTGGTATCCTCACTCGCTGTCGTGCTGCTTCCAGTGCTGTTGCATGGACTCAAGGGCAACACGTGCTGTGTCCTCCCGTTGTACACTTGGCCTCATCATCCAGTTGTGGGAACTTAGGGACGTTAAGTAGTTTGATACATAAGACTTAAGTAATCTACTCGAAGTTGAGTGCTGCATCCATGAAATTCCATCTGTTAAGTGCACTTAGCACATGGACTTTCATGGATGCAGTATTTTGATAAATACCTGCTCGACCTTACCTTTGCCATAGCAACAATAGTGGAGAGAATTTGATGGTGTGTTTATGAAACTGTTACAAGTGATCACATATGGCACATTCACTACCCTCATGGATGCTGGTCCAGCCCTAAGACCATAACACATCCCCAAATGAAAAACAGGTAAGGCCAACTGGCAAGCCTTCCAGATTGGTTTGGCCCCTGACTTAGAACCAATGAGCCCCCACACAGTGAAAACGTGGATGTGCTCGAGGCAAGACTTGTCCAGGCCATAAATCAGTCAAGCTGTTAGGGATGCCATGGAAACTGCCAACAAAGTCAGGCAGGAAAAGTGGCTAGAATTGTGCCAGTCCTTTAGCTACCAGACCACCCTCTCACGGTTGATACATGCATCATGACCCTCAATCTGGCACACAGGCTTGTGCTCGAGTTCTCAGTCAGAACCAGCAGCAACAGCCTGCCCCCTGATTTACGGGCAAAAAAAAAAAAAAAAACAACGCCTAAATCCAGGCAAGCTTACTCTCATCAGAGTCAAAGCACTCCAACCTGATGACTATGATGTGATGTTCTTCTGTAAGGAACTAAGAAAAACATATAAAACCAGTTCTGGATAAGCACCAAGCTCTGATGGGATTTCCAGCCCCATCATCTCACACTGTGGTCTTACAGGTGAGCTTGCATTCCTGCAGCTCATTAGAAAGCCATGGCAAACTGCCATACTTTCCCAGCACTGGAAAAAAAGATATAATAATTCCAATCCAAAAACCAAAGGAGTTGGGCACGTACCACCCCATTTCTCTCCTCAGCTGTCTGGGCAAAATAGTCGAGAGGATGGTACTAAATTGGCTCCAATGGAGCACCTGCACAGGTTCACAGCATCGCCACACTCCTAAGCACACTATGCGCTACTCCCTCCGCGGTTGTATTCCTAGACTTGGAGAAGGCTTTTGTACTAGCAAGTACTCTTGCCAAATGGAATGCCACAGGTAGAGGCCCTCAGTCCTGCCCTTTTCAACACCCACATGTCATGCATCCTCAACATACACTTGGCAGCAGAATGTAGAATCATCTCATGCAGACTATCTTCAAAGTATCTCCTGGTAAGCACTGCTTCAGAAGAGCCCAGCATTGTCCGGACATTCTCTTTGAAGAGTGTTGGAGGACGGGTCTAAAGATTTAGCAGCAAAATCGAAAGCAAGGGCTCTGAAATTCACTGTAAAAATACAAAACTCAGGTTAAGGCCTATGAATACCTTGGGATATGAATAGGCCACACACTCAAAAAGGTCTAGTACCTGCTTGACCGAACCAAGGCGACTGTCTGTTGTGAAAGTAATGGCCACGAGACAGGAGCAGGACGCAAAGTACTAAGAGCATTCTATGTACACGCTGTCTGCCCTATTGTAGACTATGCTTCTGTCACTCGCATTTCTACCAGCATTACATAAGAAGTAAAAATGGAGACAGTCCAAAACGAAGCAGCCAGGATCATCCTGGGTTCCCCCAGATGGACAAAGGCCCTCAACCTTCTCATGGAGGCTAACCTGTCGTCCCTGGACTCCGGGATAGCAGCACAGTTTCTTTCTATGGTCATACAGGCACCCCTAAACACATGAGACAAAAAGTACTCAGACGCCTACAGCAAGACTGCCAGCTATTTTCTGACAACTCCTGGCTCACATACACACAGACAGAGTGTTAATACACTTTCAGCTCAAAAAACTACTTGCCAAGGGTATGAACTCCTCTCACCCTGACTATAGAGATCCCCGCCGCGGGCAAACACCTTGATTAAGTTCTCAGTCTTGAACTAACCAAGGAGAAAAAATTCAATACTCTATGCCTAGCCTAAAGGCGTAAGTACAAAGGGTCATTACACAAATAACTCCCAAGGTTAGTAGAGCCTAATTCACGGACGGAACAGTGGATCTCATAAACTACACTACAGGTGCTGGCTTCACAGCAAGGGATGCCACAACATCCATCAATGTTCCAAGCTGAAGTTACTATCATGGGAGCCCTGGCCCACGCGTCCCTAAGAGAAGGATACGTGGCCATATACACAGACTCCAGATCAGCCACTGACAGTCTACAACACAGCATGCCCAACGACAACTTCAATCTCCTGACCACAATCCTCACCATAGCACAGAGAATCCTTGATCAGGGTCGAGAGGTCCAGCACTGCGGCCCTTGCCATTCTCCAACGGACACAGAGAAAGTACCACAAACTCGCCCTCAGCTAGATGTTATTCAGACGCCACAGGCTATAAGCCACTGGTTACCTATGCGCTTGGCAAATTATTGATGTGGTCGATAGGGAATGTAAGCATTGTGGCGAACTCAACGCAACCCCGTTACATCATGCATAGAATTGTGAGCACACGCAATTTCTGAGACAGGGACCCCCCACCACAGCCGCTGGGCTTATGCCCAGCGTTTGCTGGCAATTTAGGATCTAAGCAAGGCATTCAGTTTAAAACACATGAGAAAGCTAGAAATACTTGCGACAGGAGGGCCAATTTAGAAAAAAGGCCCGGGTGATATATCTACGCAAAAAAAATGTACCAAGAAAGGCTGTATGAAGCAAACTGCTGCCTCGTTTTCTCAGGGTGAATGCAGAGAAAGATATAGGAAACTTTTATAATGCATAACCTTAAATGTTTGCAGGATCCCCGGCACAGACGTGACCATCGAGCCTGGCTTAGTGGTGACATGTCCACTCTTTCAAATCCATCGGGACCCGAAGTACTGGCCCGAGCCCGAGGTGTTCCGCCCCGAGCGCTTCCTACCGGAGAACAAGGCGAACATCACCCACCTCACGCACATACCCTTCGGAATCGGACCCAGGAACTGTATAGGTGAGACAACCTAACATTTAGGAGTGAGATTTGTATCTTGAATTTGTCTTGTCTTCATAATTTCATTCTCTCTCTCTCTCTCTCTCTCTCTCTCTCTCTCTCTCTCTCTCTTCTCTTCTCTCTCTGGCTTTCTCTACTAACGACTTACTATACTACTCATACGTAATGAGGAATAAACCTTATAACAAAGACCGCTTTCCTTGCAGCGATGAGATTCGCCCTCATGGAAGCCAAAGTAGGTCTGGCCAAGATGATCCTTGCCTCAGACATAAAGTTGGCACCCGGACACGAAGAGATCAAGATTGACTTTGGCTTGGGTTTGCTGAGGCCAAAAGATGGGGTTAATCTTCTCTTGACCCCTTTGAAAGAAGAGTGAAAAGGAAAGGAGGGAGAGTGAGTGAGTGAGTGAGTCATTCTTGAACACAGAAGATCACAAGGTCAAGGTTGAGAAAGGGCAGAGAGGAAGGCAAATGTATACGGTGTATTTATGGGATTCTTAACTATAGAAGGGGGACTTTGCAGCAATTGTCTAAAATCTTCGTATGTTGGAAAGTAAATTTTAATCCTCTATTTGTTAGCAATTAATGTATTTTCGCTCTAACACTGGAAAGAAAGTTGAAAGTAAATTGAGGGTAGTGATAATGGTAATGATAGTAATGATAATAATAATGATAATGATAATGGTGACC